TTTAATATCCCTCCCTCATGCATTCTGTCATTTGTGTCAAGGACTATCATTTAAAGTTAGCATCCCAAGATATCCCTCAGTGTAAGTTCATCCACTGTGGTCTAGTCAGATTATCTAGAGTCCGTCCTTTTAAGATCAGCTCTTCCTCACACAACCCGATTCAGCTGCCAAGAGTTCTTTGACTAAGATTGGAGCCTGCTGCCCATTTTCATAGTTCTGTGCTGGGTTGTTGTCTGCTTGATTTTGCCTGGTTCTTGCGCATGCTGATACCACTGCTGTAGGTTTGTATGAACAAGGTCCCAGGAGCCTATATATATATTCAAAACATTTTTTTAATATTTGAGAAAGAAGAGGGCTGGGCTATACTAACTGGTGAAGTGCTTACCTGGCTGGGCCACAGTGTGGCTCCTTCATACTAGAGAGAGGGAAAGAAGGAGGGATGGAGGAATAGAGGGAGGGGGAAGGTCCTGACCTCACTGAGATACCATTAAATTCACCTTTTCTTCTTTCCCATCCTTGGTGTGGGTGCATATGATTTTACAACACTCGTAGCAGGATATAATTTGTATTATTTCGTGTTTAATGCTGCATCATAAATACATTCCATAGCTCTGCAGTTCTCATAATGGCAACTACAATCACAGTTTTACATCTCATTAAGTAGGAGTTCCCATTCAGAAGTCATAGAAATTGTGCCAAGTGCCACACACACACACACACACACACACACACACACACACACACGGGAAAATACTGGAATTACTTTTTGTCTTCATTTAGGCATTTGTGTCTGTTGAATTATCTGCCCAGCATATTTGCGTAGTTGAGAGAACTGGAGGGAAGGGTTAGAGTGACAGTTGTGGCCCTTGATGAAAGTCACTAGGGTAATGCCAGGAAGACTGAAGGGGAACTGACCAGTTTCACAGCTTCTTGTCGGCATTTGGGGTTAGCTGTCATTGTCTATACCACATCGCTTTAATTATAGCTACTAGTCAAGATTAGCATTTGCCCATTTGTCACTTTATTAGTTATGTTTAATGAAAAAGTTTCTCATAGCATCTCTTTATTTGTGCATCAAAGACTTGTTTGTTTTCTCACAAATACCACTTTTAAAACACTCCTCAGACAATGTAAATTTTAACTTTCTTTAAATTTTATGTATATTTTTATCTTCTTAATTGCTTTAAAACTTCAACAGTGGATGCTGGGTTTATTTGCTTGCTTGTTTGTATAATTTATTTCGGGAAATTAAACTAAAACAAAGCATCAACCACAAAATGAAATTATTCACACCATACTTAAACTATGATGTAGCTAGGCAGTTCTGAATCAATGGGAAACTTTGTAGTTGAGTGTTGTCAGAATACCTTATTATGGCAGCTTTAAATTTTCAGTCTGATAATATATTATATAGTTTGTAACATTAATAGCAATTTATTATTTGTGACAGAATTTCTGTAGTTCATTTAATTTTCTTTTACCTCCTGACAAAGCTATAATTTGAAAATGAGCAAAATCAACCTTAAAATTAAATCAATTCAAGGGAAACTAACCTCTACTTCATTTTTAGTATTTTTTGCTGATTACAAAATTATATATGTTTATTTCACAAAAAAATTTAAATGACAGGAAATAATTTTAAAATAACTCAAATCCAACTCTAATCTCATCATCCAGAAAAACTGTAACACTGATATGGGCTCTTTCCAGTTTTCTCTCAACTAGGGATGTGACTCTACAGATATTTTAATCAATTTTTATTACATCATTTTTACGTTATATTGTCTCACTACCTGATATTGTTAGTGAACATTTTCCCATTTTGCCAAATATTTGGAATCAGTTTGTACCACTGAATATGTTTATAAAGATCTAGGTGAGCTAATTAGACACTACCTTAGAAGTTCAAACACTTGAAGGAAGTCTTCTCATTCCTTAGTGGAAGGAAGAGTCCCAACTTTTCTTCTGTAGACTCTAGGCAACGTTCATGGAGCCTCTGGAGAGCAGCCAACCTACCAGCCACAGAATGCCAGTTCCATATCCCTCCTAAAAGCCCATGAACACTGGGTTCGAAGATGGCACTTCTTTTTTGAGAATTTCATACGTGAGCATTGTCTTTGCATCCTCTCCATCCCTCCCAGGCTTCCACGAATGTATCCCATGTCCCCCAGCTACCTTTCAACTTCTTGTTCTCTTCTTTGATCATTATTGAAATATACTCAAAACCTTTTGGTTCATAATTATCTAGTGTTCATAGAGTTGGACATATACATATTGGGTGATTTTTATTGTTGATCTATTTGTGAAAATGTAGTTGGTAAGTAATGGGAACTTAAGACTACTCAGAAATTCCTTCGCTCCTATTTGGTATAGAAATGATCACTGTAGTTTATAAACAGATTTCACATAATCATTTAGTCTTGCAACTTAGTGGCATACTGCTATGTAAAAGAGAAAATTGGAATTTGCTTGTGTGTACCTGTTTAAGGCTGTCCATTTGGGATTAAGAAATTTCTCAAGGAGCTAGACCCTGGAGAGAAATGGTGCTCCCGCCCCCACTCGGCATCCATTGATTGCCTGTAGTTCTTCATCTTGAGGTGGAACCCCATGACGTTCACCCATCCACCTTGGCATGTCAACTGATTTTGTCATTATGCCACCACACCCAGCGGATGTACTTAGTCTTAAGTAATGTTTGCCTCCAGTTTCTGCAGCTGCTTGCAGTCACAAGCTTCGGCCACTACATCTCAAGAAATTCTGACAAAGTAGAAAGAGGGGAGAAGGTACTTGTCAGAACCATCTTGGATACTGTGTTGGCAGATGGAGACTTATCCACAGAGAGCTTCACATTTACTACGGGATTAAGGGCAGCAGGGAGACAACAAGTGTAAGAGAGTAGGGAACCCCTCGTTCAGACCCCCATTCTGCCTATTCATTGCCAGTGGGGGACCTTGGAGAAGTCATTTCACTGAATTCTGATTTTCTTCTTCTTTAAAAATTTTTTTATTATTTTTATTTTATGTGTATGTGTGTATTGCCTGCATGTAGGTAAGTGCACCTGTGTCATGCAATGCTGGCGGAGGACAGAAGAGACTATTGGATCCCCTGGAACTGGAGTTATGGACAGTTGTTAGCTGCCATGTGGGTGCTGGGATTCGAACCCGGGTCTTCTCAGTGTTCTTAACCACTGAGCAATCTCTCCAATCCCCCCAATTTTCTCCTTTATATAACAGTGTTCCACTAAGTTGCAAGACTAAATGATTATGTGAAATTTGTTTATAAACTACAATGATCATTTCTATACCAAATAGGAGCGAAGAAATTTCTGGGTAGTCTTACATTCCCATTACTTACCAACTACATTTTCCCAAAGAGATCAACAATAAAATCATCCAACATGTGTTTCTTCAACTCTGTGAATACTGGATAATTTTGAACCAAAAGGTTTTGAGTAGTTAAGATCATGCTAGTGGCTATACCAAATCCTCAACCTTTGCTGACTCAGTACAACAGAAGTTTTATGACATGTAAACAGTCAGCAGAGGGATTGAAAGTTGATTGACAACTTTGTGGAAATCCAGGCTCTTTCCACATTGTGACTCTGTCTTTGTCTTCTAGGGCTTCAGGCCACTTGCATTCAGTAAACAGATGAGGAAAATGGAAGAAGGCCTATGCCACATGCTTGCTTCTTAGCACCATAGCAAGAAGTGGCATTGAACTCCATTCACATTTCACTGGCATGCAGTTCAGAATACACCTTATACGGAGAGAAACTGAGAAATAGTATCAGTTTAGTGAGCAGCTAACCAGCCACACATGTTACTTGATAGAAGAAAATAAGCCAGGAAGAGAACAGGCCAACATCTACAGTTTGAGGCTAAAAATGAATCCAATGGTTTTCTCTGTGATATTTCCAACAAACTTTTTTTAAACTTTTTAAAAAATTTTTATTTTTATTTTATGTGTATGCATGTATTGCCTGCATATAGGTAAGTGCACCCATGTTATGCAATGCCTACAGAGGTCAGAAGAGGCTGCTGGATCCACTGGGACTGGAGTTATGGACAGTTGTTAGCTGCCACGTGGGTGCTGAGATTCGAACCCAGGTTTTCTCAGTGTTCTTAACCACTGAGCCATCTCTCCAACCTCCCCCCCCAACAAACTCTTATATTCTCATACACAGTGGTCCTCAGAGGAAGACTACCATTGTTTATGAAACTATTCACTGATTATTGATGCTTTTTAAAAATATTTGTCAAGCACATGTACTGATAAAGTAACCCATTCCCATTTCAAGTGACAGGAGAATAACTCACCCCATATCAAGTAACAGGCTGGAGACCAGGAACCCTCCTTGCCCCAGTGCAGGCTCCCTATCTAAAGCATGTTTCAATCTACTGTGCCTAGATGTTTCTGCCCCTTTTACCTGCACTGGTAGTTCAGGGGTAAAATTCTCACCTACCAAATTCCTCTGTCCCATTCTAACAGGGAACACAGGTGCTGAAGCCTGGGTACTGTAAAGGTCCTGCGTCTACCTCTGATTAGTTATCTGGGCAAGTTTGTCTTAAGTAAGTTACCTAGCCTCTCTGAACATTTGCTTTGTTCTCTGTGAGATGAGGATGAATGAAACTGTTTAAAGCTCCTGTCATGATGACTGACACCATAGCTCTGTGACCCTGTCCCCTATCTACACCATTAGACTTGGAACCCTCATCCCCCACCTTTCATGATCCAGCCCCATGTTACATGGAGCTCTATAAAGCCCCACCAGAATGTGCAGGTTGAGGAGTTGGGCAAAGAATTTGTTATTCAAATAAATAATTTTCCCTGAATCTACTAGCTGTGAAATCTGCCAGTGAAGATGTGCGAAGTGTGATTATTCCGATGATGGAAAATTGGAAAGAGATGTTCTAAACTGTGGCTTGCCAACCCTTTCCATAGGCAGATATAATATTAATAGATATTTATTACATTATAATAAATCCCTTCTCATGAAAAATGTTAAGCTGGGCTTTTCATGTGTCCTCTTCTGTTAATTCCTACAGTACTCTCCTGAAGGGGGCACTTTCGTCCCTTATTTTACAGATTGAGCAGTAGTAACAATCAAATTGAGGATCAAAAAGATTTAGTTTGCCCACTTGCCCAGTAAATAAAGAATAATGTCAGGACAGGGCCCAGGTCCATCCAGTCACACCTCTCTGTTCTGTCCACTGAGCATTCTGCTTCCCAGGACCCTTCAAGGAGGAACTTTCTCTGGAACAACAGAAAACAATCAACATTAACATTGCACATTGTCATTTCAAAATGTGATCTCATTTAGTCCTCATGTCACTGTGCAGAGATTTCTGTCTACACCTGACTGTGAACAGAAACTGAGATTCAGGGAGGCTGCTCAGAGGTGGTGAGGGGAGTCAACCCCTCACAGTATATGCTCAGCAAGCATTTACTGAGCACCAAGTATTACATGCACTGCTCGGTGATGAATATTTCTTGCACATTTCTTCTAGTGTCCTGAAAAACCTCCCGAAACCTCCTGAGTCTTTATCATCCCAATTTTATACACATGAATATGGCTCTTAAATATTAAAATTCTGTGCCAACCAAGTGATCAGGCAATGGAGAATACAAATTGACACTTTTTTAAATCTGAAAAAGCAAAGAAAACTTACCACCAATGCACTTTGTCTAGAAAAGAAGAGACACTTTCAGTTAATATTTCATCTACTTTGTGATACATGGCAGTGCCCAGACACTACCCAGGCAAAAGATATTGTCCTAGTTATTTTCTATTGCTGTGGTAAAAACATTGACCAAAACCAACTTAGAGAGGAAAGGGTTTATTTTATCTTACATCTTCCAGGTCACAGTTCATCACTGAGAGAAGCCAGGGCAGTAACTCAGAGCAGAAACCTGAAGACAGGACCTGAAGCACAGATAAGGGAGGAATGCTGCTTACTGACTTGCTCCCCTGGTCTGTACTCTGCTTTCTTATACAACACAGGACCACCTGCCCACACACTCAACAATCAAAAAAACGTCCCGACAGACAAGGCCATAGGCCAATCCAATGGAGAAAATTCCTCAGTTGAGGCTCCCTCTACCCAGGTGTGTCAAGTTGACAACTGAGGCTGTCCAGCACAGATGTCTTACATTTGCGCTATGACAATAATCAGTGAGCATCAATTCCAGTTAACAGTAGAGATAGAAACAAGGAGATTAGGCGTCACAGGAAAACATGACCAATGGTCACTTGACAATAACTGTGGACACCCTAATATTTAAAGGTTAACAAGTCAAACTCAAGAGCAGATTAAAGAATACACTTTGTTCAAGGAGATCTTAGCACAGGGGCAGGAAATGATCCAATACTAGACCAATTAGGTCTGTCATTCACCACAGAGATTAAGAAGCAAATCTGTAATTTATTAATAACTCAGTAACCAACAATTTTTAATTATCTCTAAAATGCACAAAAAAAGCATTCATTAAGGTAGAACATCCAGAATTATTTATTTTTAATCTCAGTAAATCAGGAATAGAATGAAAGTTCCTCAAAATTTAAGAAAAAGGAAATCTATCAGAAATCTTTAACAATTAAATGCTTAATGAATTCTTAGGCACATCCCAACTAAAAAATGCAAGACAAAATTGATTATTGCTATTGATACTAATCACTATTGATCTGAAGAGAGAGAAATTTAAAGGAAAAACGAGCTTTTGCTCTATGCAGATAATCTAAGTACCCACATTAAAATAATATCCAAGGCAATCAACTAAAAGCTTAGAATAAGAAAGTTCAAAACTATGTATAGACAGCACTATATAATTAATCCAATAGCCTCTCTATATACCACTAGTAATTAATTTAACAATAATTCTGGAGCCAGCAAGATGACTCAGTGGATAAATGTACTTGCAGCCAGGACCAAAGACCTGAGTTCCATTCCTCGTGACCCACATGGTAGAAGGCGAGAACTGACACCCAGAGATTGTCCTCTGACCCCCACAGGTATGCTATGTCATACACAAGCACACGCCACATACACACAAAATAATAAACAAGTAAATAAATAAATAATAAATTACAAAATTTAAAGGATATAAGATACAACAAAAATCCCTACAAAATAAGCATGTTTTTTTACTGTAAAAGTTCTATTTAAAGATAATTAAAGAAATTTACTGACTAATGTGAACACACAAATAAATGATATAATGGACTTTATTTCTAGCTTAGTTCAAGGCTTAGTACTGAAAATGTGCTTGTTTTCCCTCCATTTACCAATGTCATTCTTATTTTAATTCAATAGCACTTTTACTCAGGTCTTTCTTTCTAGAAATCAAAACACATTGTAAGCTATAGTGATTAAAACATTCTAGAATGGGTGTAGATATTGACAAATTGATCAGGGGAACAGAATAATAAACCTGGAAACAAACTCAAGTGTATATGAAAATCAAGTATACTATAAAGATATCAATTAGAATTGGTGAAGAAACAATAGATTTATTCACAGGTGAGCTTGAACCAAACAGCTATTCATTTGAGAAAGGAATTAGATTCCTAATTCATGCCATGTATTCAGAGAAAGTAGCCTTCAGCTGGGTTAAAAAGCAAATATATGAAAATATATTATTCCTAAATCCATTTTTATTGCTGTGATAAAATACTCTGATAAAAAGTAACTCAGAGGACTGGAGAGATGGCTCAGTGGTTAAGAACCATCTTAACTGATTGCTCTTGCAGAGGACCTGAGTTCAATTCTCAGCATCCACATGGCAGCCAACAATTATCTATGGACTTCAGTTCCAGGGGATGCAACACATGCTTCTGAGCTCTGCTGGCATTGCACAACATGGGTACACTCACATGCATGCAGGCAATACACTCATACACATAAAATAAAATAAATTATATATTAAATGTAACTCAAGGGAGAGTTTATTTTAACTGCATTTCAGAACATAGTCCATTACAGCAGGGAGTCGAGGCTGCAGGGACTTAAATGGTCACATCACATTCACAGTCAAGGGCAGAAAGAAATGAATACTTGCATGCTTCTAGTGCTTAGCCCACTGTCCCCACTCTTACATAGTCTAAGACCCTAAGCCCAGGGAATGGTACTGCTACACTGGATGGGGTCTTCCCATATTAATTAGCGTAATCAATACCATCTCCCACAGACATGCTCTCAGGCCAACCTGATCTAGACAATCCCTCATTGAGACTCTTCCCAGCTGGTTCGAAATTATGTTGACAGTTAAAACTAACCATCACAATATTCAAAGAAATATGTGTGAGGAGAAAAGGTGAACTTTTTTAATAAGCAAAAGGGCTTAACAGACATCTACAGAATACTTCATCCAATAATTTCAGAATGTGTATTCTACCCAGCAGCCCATAAACTTTCTCTAAATAGACCACATTCTGAGCCATAAGGTAAATCTTAACAAATACAAAAGAACTGAGATAACTTTTATCTCTCATAGAGCAAAATGGCATATAGCAAGAGAAATTACATAAACCATAGAAAGGCATGGTAAGTCAAAGAAGTACATTTAAATGATCATTAGGCACTGAAGAAATCAAGGAGAAAATATTTTAGAAACAAGTAGAAGTGAAAATACTTTGCAGAGCCTGTGAGATCTAGCACTGGCACTTTTAATGGGATGTTCACAGGTATGAATGCCTACATTGAAAAAAAAAAAGAAAGAAATGGCCAGACATGGTAGCACATACCTTTAGTCCCAGCACTCAGGAGGCAGAAGTAGGCAGAGCTCTGTGAGTTCAAGGCCAGCCTGGTCTACATAGTGAGTACCAGGCCAGCTGGGACTACAGGGAGACCCTGTCTCAAAAAGGACCAAAAAAAAAAGAGAAAGAAAGAAATCTCAAATAAATAACCTAATTATGCTCTTCAAGGGAGTCTTAAAAACACATACCAAAAAAAAATGCCAAGCCCAAAATTAGTAGATGGAAAGAAAAAAGATTAGAGAAGATATTAATGAAATGGAAACCCAAACAAAAATATACAAAGAATCAATGAAACAAAGAGATTGTTCAAAGAAACAATCTTTGAAAAGCTGAACAAGATTGACAAAACCTTATCCAAATTAATCAAATGAAAGAGAAAGAAAACCCAAAAATCAATAAAGTTAAAGCTGATATATGCTATATCAGTGAAATTCAGAGAATAATTGCTATATCAGTGAAATTCAGAGAATAATTAGGGACTAATTTGAAACTGATATGCCAATAAATTGAAAACTTCAGAAATGAAGATAGAAACAAATAGATCTATAATGAGCAAGTATATTGAAGCAGTAATAAAGAGTCTCTCAACTAAAACAGCCCAGGATTGAATGAATTAACGGGTAGATTCTACCAGATCTTTAAAAAAAAAAAGAACTAATGGTAAAAATCCTCAGAGCCTTCCATTACAGATTATTTCATTACAAGTCCAGTTTTACCCAATGCCAAAACCAGATAAACAGAAAAAAAAATTAAAGAAAAATACAACCCAATTTTCTTGTTGACTATAGATACAAAGATACTCAAATACTTGGAAAGCAAATTCAACAGCATATTAAAGTAAAATATCATTTACCATGACCTACGTACAACAGATCTGTAGCCAACATTGTGCTAAATGGGGAAAACTTAGAAGGATTTCCTTGAAAATAAGGATTGAGACGAAAATGCACTATCTCCACTTTGATTCAATACTGTGCTAGAAGTCTTGCCAAAGCAATAAGAAAATAAAAAGAAATAAAAAGGATACAACTAGGAAATGAAGAAATCAAATTATTCCTATTTGCAGATGACATAGTCCAATATTTAAAAGACCTTAAGGGCTCCATCAGAAAACTCTTAGATCTGATAAACAGTTTCTGTAGGACACAAAATTAGCATATTTTCTATATGCCAGTAATGAACATACTGAGAAATTAGGAAAGCAATTACATTCATAATAGCCTTTAAAAACAAATAATAAACCTAACCAAGGAGATAAATGACTCTAAAATGAAAACTTTAAAATGCTGGGGAAAAAGCTTGGCGTGGTGCTGCATGCCTTTGATCCTAGCACTAAGGAGGCAGAGGCAGGAGGAGCTCTGTGAGATCGAAACCAGCCTGGTCTACATAGTGAATCCCAGGGTTGGAGCTACAGGGAGACCCTGTCTCAAAAAGACAAAAATTTAAAAATAAAGAAAAAAAATACCTCAGTCAAAATTGCTGTCATTAAGCCTTTATGCAT